AATGGATAGCAGTTTAAAATTTATCGGTCTTTGATTCTCAATTATACGTGTTTATGACTTCATCTGTCTTCAGTGACTTCAACCTTTTCCATTATGGTGGAATATTATTTGTACGGAATCCATTAAATTCACAAGGCAGGACTCTAATGGTGGGGCTGCAGCGATTTGCAGAGGGAAAAGTTTTGAAAGGTTGGCTTTAGGAAAAGCGTGGCTGTTATGACACAAGAAATTGCTTTATTGATGGTCTGCTCTGCTGCCTGTGCATTTGGCCATTTGTTACCCGGCCCATATCTATATCTCAGACTGACACTGATGAGAACTTTTTCTGTTGCCCTCTCCAGATTACCGACTTGTAATGACACATACAGGCAGGTTGGGTAAAAGCTGAAGATCCACGGCAGAGTATCTGAAGGTACAGACGCTGGATATTGAGGCTGGGTTCCTGGAGGGCTCGGACCATGCTGCTCATAATAGAGAAAAAAAGGTACATCGCTCCTGTGACTGCTCCCATCCAAACCATACAGAGGTCATCATCTCTGCTGAGTAACAATAAAGGAAGAGAAAGAGGGATAACATGTGGATACGATCAGGACAGGAGAGATATAAAGGAGAATGCACTTCTTATATGCCTATATCTAAAAGGTACATGCTCAGTTATGATGTTTCTCAAAGTGACCATGAGGGGAAATTACAGCAAGACTACCGTACATTTGCCAGAAAATCTGTCATTCTCCTCCTTAAATACATGTTGTTTCCTGTTTACACAGGAAGTAACAAGATTCCCTGTAGTCAAGTGTCCGCTGAAGTGTTCCAACCTGAATGACATTGAGCTCCTTCGACTGGCTGGTGCAAAGGGCCGACTAAAAGCTAATCAGGCTGTAATTCAAGATTCGCCCAGCCACTTACAATCAATACTCGCACAATCCCAATTAAAGCTTGCCGGGTCAATGGAGGGCCACCAATTCCTTTACAAGTTAAATGCAATACTTAAATCTAAAGCAATCTCAGTGTGGCCTTCAATGGTTTAATGGCTCGTGCCAACAGGAGTGTCCAGTTAAAAGTGCAAGAAGGATACAGCGTGGACAGGTTATAGTGATTGATACTTCCTTACCCCACAAATACGTGCACACTTTTTAAATATCATATTAAATGCAAGATCTTACTTGGAAAGTTAGCATTTTTACGAGTGGATGAAGTATCTGAATACTTTATTCAGTACTACATTTGCATAGCTTTAGCTACTAGCTACTCTGAGGATTCAATTTTTCTTTTCAAAAGCATACATTTTTGTAACTTGATGTATTCTTTTTTTATATACTTACATTTTGTTAAAAATAAGTTATATTCAACTACTATGTGAGCTACTTTCATATCATGTACAAAACATATCAATAAAATGACTACTTTTACTGTTGAGATCTTAAGTGCATTTTTTTTCAATAATGCCTACTTACCTTTACTAATAATAATAGTAATAGGGTATTATTTGAATACTTCTAACAGATCTGAATACTACTCCTTAGACCTCACTGTCAACACCTCCACGCCACCCATTTTTCCCATTTTCCCTCCAGTTTTCTCCCTCCTGAGCTTTTGCCATTGCATCCATGTCTTCTATCACAATTTTGACCAACAGAAAGGAATTCTCACAAGATATCAAAACAAAAATCTATATTTAATATGGGAGCAATTACAAAGCGAAGTTGGCTGCACAGGGCCGTTGTCACCCGAGCGCGTGTTTTTCATCAAATAGGTCATTAGACGATGATGGATGTAAACCTATAAAGTATCTAAACTGGACCTTTTAACAAACCACGAGCAACACTATCATTTCTCTAATAGAACCTGCTGACCGTGTCATTCCCTCCTGCCATTTGTCATTTTTCCTTGTGAAATAATCAATATCTGGGCGCTTTGAAATAAATAATATAAAAGTCATAGTAACCTACCCGAGGAGCAACAAAAATAGACTTATGGAGCATTCAGAAGGCCGATGTGGCTTCTGGGCAAGGTCCACTGCATGTTTCTAATCAATGCATAATATTAGATTTTTGTATCACAGGGTTTTAGTTTGTACAGTTTATTTTCAGGGTTAGCATCAGCTGTGGTTTTTAACCCCTGTTATGGAGTGCTAAAGCATTGCGGTAAATTATTATTTGTCGCGTAAACCTTAACAATCTATTGGACTTCTCAAACACACAACCTAGGGATGAAGTAAATATTACAATAGTCACTTTTGTCCAAGTGTTAAAATGATAATGGAGAGGAGGGTAGCGATATCTGCATTTGATGCACTACTTTAGTCATATAGACCTTCAGCTGGCTTCAGCTTCTCACTGTGTTTGAATTCCTACAGTTAATCCACCAGAGCCCACCGTCATTCTTTTGAAACATTATGATTTCAATTATTAAGATTATTCACAGTAATCTTAATTTTGACGACAGGAGCAATATATTTTGTCTTTATTTACAATTCATTTTATGCTGCTTTGCTGACATATTTAGCAATGTTTATATGTGTAGTAAATCCAATCCAATCCATTTTATTTCTATAGCACATTTAAAAACAACAGAGTTGAACAAAGTGTTGTACATCAATAACTGTATAAAAACATAGTATAAATACATCAAAACAGATGGGACATGAAACAAATGTAAAACACGAGACAATGAAACCAGATCAGAAGCCACAGACTGAGAAACTTTCCTACATGATGTAAAAACAATACAAAACACTAGTAAGATAAAAAGACCTAGTAAAGGTCGTCAATGATTATAATACTGTGTACATTGTGATGTACATACTCAAAACTCATAAACAGGCTGCAAAACAGCCACCTTTTTTCTTTTTGCACCATGTGATACATTTTTTAAATAATATTGTTCAATTGTATATATCAGATCTCACATGAAGTAAACACCTTAAACACAATAATAATTCTGGGGTCAAATAATTGTGAAAAGTATCAGATATGTAAAAATTAGGAAGTCAACTAATCTTGACTTCCCAATATTAGTTCAGGAAGTCAAGCACTTCTAAATGAATAAGGATCCAATACAAACTGTCCGGAATAATTAGCGGTAGTTTATTTTCTGGTACAGTAGTTGTGGAGCATAGAAGAATATAAATACTACAATAATGTAAGTGACATTGTGATGTATTATGATTAAAATCTTCATATCAAGATTCTAAGGCACTGTTCATATTCGCAAATAAGTGTCAAACACATTTGGGTAGATTCTTTGCATGTTATTCTAATAGAATATCTGTTATAAGACACACATTTTGCACCTCAGTCTGAGGGTGCCATCAAATACCTGTGATGATGAGTGTGTAAGGAAAGGTGATAATTACATCACAGTAAGAGGATATGTCCACTAATGCAGCTCACTAAATGAATGACACACGTTAATTACATGTGGCTGCTAATGCAACCTTTACCTTGTCACTGACACCCTCTATTATGACTGCATATCCTATGGCTAATTAACGTTTTTGGGTAACAGGTGATGATGTTTCATAACTGAAATGTGTACATCGCCATTAGGTAACCAATGTGAAGACTGTTGTATTGGACATGGCTGCTGTATTTAAAAAATACCAGTTAATGTATTTTGGACTCACAAAAGCATTTTTTTGGTATCACTTTGGAGGCCATTGCGTTTACTTGCATGCACTTCCTGTAGACTTACTTAAAATCTAGTGGTTTCTTTAGTACGACCGGTTTAGCTTCCAAATGTGATTCCCAAAAACGTAAAAGTATGATATTTGTGTCCCCACACCATGATAAGTACAAGCATTCTCAACGCACACTGTGAACACTTTAATCACACACGTGCAGTTCCCTCTTGAGACCCACAGAGGTCGCTGTCTCCCCGTCCTTCTTCCACAGAAGCTTCCAACCAAAGGGCTGTTTTTTTTTTACAAGTCAATTAATATCAATGAGTGAATATACATAGCACATTTACAAAGAGTGCAATCTAAGGGATGAATTAGCCAAATCGATTAGGGAGGAATAAATGACTGTGCGACCCGCTGTCGGTGTGGAAGTGGCCCTTGTTGAAAATCAATGAATTAGAAATATGAATCTAATCGCCCATTGGTGACGCATGGAGTATAGCTGCAGTCTGAGCTCAGGCCTTTTTTCTCATTTTGTGTCTAGAAGTCTTAAGAAGAAAAGTATTTTGGGAGTATTTGATGGTTAGAGTTTTGGTATGATGAGCCTACACTTATGTTTGATTTAATTTAGTCAAGTTACAGTAGGATACATATGAAAGTCTGCAGAAGAAAGGGTGAGTTTTTTTACAAAAAAAATAGCACTGAAAACCAAGACTTTTGTGCTATTTTTGTTTAGTTAATACTTAATTGTATTATGAGTTTGCATGGCAGTGGGATCTTGTCTGAATGGACCCACTATTTAAAAACATTACATTTGGGCCTTGGCTAATCAATGCAAATGTTAACCATATACAGGCTATTCTTTTTTTCTTTTTCTAAACATAACATTTGGGCTCATTTTAAATATACTACTATCACAACTCATATCATGTGTTCATAAATAGCCAATTAAAATACAAATAATCAACCAGGCACCTGCTGCCTGAGTGAAAGTGGTTTTAAAAATGTATCGCTAACTCTTTTTTAACTACTATTTTTAACCTGGAATTTGAGTAACTCCGTAGTCGGTCTGTAATGTTTAGTTGTTTGATGAGGCGCTTATCCCAAACCTTTCTTTTTGGCGCTAACAGCCCTGTGTTCATTTGCTGCTAATTGGACTGTATGAGACCAATAACAGGCGAGCACACACAGCCTGCAGCCACAGCACAGGGGGAGGACTCTCTCTCTCTCTCTCTCTCTCTCTCTCTCTCTCTCTCTCTCTCTCTCTCTCTCTCTCTCTCTCTCTCTCTCTCTCTCTCTCTCTCTCTCTCTCTCTCTCTCTCTCTCTCCACACCGTCTTTCCCTTAATCCCATTTGCCATTGTACATGCCCAATCGCCTATACTTTCCGCATTTAACTTGGATGACATTTTTATTTCATCATTAGCATCAGACGCCAGACTGACTGACACGGTGGACCCAGTTTGCGTTTTACGAAAGAGCCCGGAGTGAGACATCTCCATGTTTCTACATTATTTTTTTCTCGCTAAAACATTGTATTTGATAATTGTTCCAGCCTAGAAGGACGCGTGTTTTGACGCTATTTGACGAATAAAACAGGGACTCCTCGCAGCCTGGATATCGACATAAGTCAGCCTTGCGTTTTTCTCTTTTGATTCCTGCTTCCGTGGTCCTCTGCGTTCAGACCACAAACACAGCGATGCCAGAGACAACGCAAGAGACGTGCGCTTCGGCCAAGGACTCTCCTTTCTTTATTAAGAACCTGCTGAACTGTGATAGCAAACCGTCCAAACCCAAGCCCGTACTGGCTGCCTCTAAGGTGGCCTTGGAGGGAGGATTTTCCCTTTCCCAGGTCGGAGACTTCAACTTTCCCCGCTTCGACCTGTCCGCACAGAGGTTCAGTCTGCCGGCTCACTACCTGGAGCGCACCTCGGCGTGGTGGTACCCTTACGCACTCAGCCAATCTGCCCACCTACACAGAGCCGAAGGTAAATACAAAACTTTATTCCTCATATTTTGTAGACTCACTTATGTGCAAGTCATTTTCTCACTTTTAACCATTCAATTATGTTTTGATGTTAGAGTTTAGTCTCTTAGGACAAACTTAATTACTTTAAAAAAACAAACAATTCCAACAAGTTTTGTGACACATACAATTGTGTCAGATTACAGTTATTTCACTTCCCTCTAAGAACTGTTCTCGATAAAGGGGAATTTGTTGGTTTTGTTGATGTGAAAATAATATGACGTGCATTGAATTACCTCACCAGTGGGTAAAGTGAGTTGACGCGCTGTCCTTTATGAAGGCCTATTTTGTTATGCCACGATGCGGGATAATAGATCAATAAAGTGACACACTGTGCATAAAATGAAGCAGACATCGTCAAATCATCGGATGAGGGTGACGATGCGCAGCGTGCTTTTGATTTGTCTATTGGCGCTCACTGCGAACATCTTACCCCAGAGGCTTATTGGTCACTGACAGAGTTTTTACCTGCTTCTTTCTGGGATTTATTCACCAGGGAATTAAAACACCCTGATATTGGCACTAGCATGCCTTCATGCAAAGAACACACATCATTTTAAAAATAAAAGCTTGTTCAATTATGAGCGTGATTGTACTTTGATTTGTTCAAATAAAGCAGACCAGATAGAGATTTCAAATATTTCATTTCTATTAAAAAGTATATTTTAAATAATAATTTAAATGTATTTGAACACTGTGTTGTCAGTGACCTCTTGTAATACAAAATGGTTTACGTTTATGTGACAAGCATAAACATATTTTCTGGCACCATTTATAACCACTTAGATGCAAAGACCACAAGCTGTCCAGTATCAATTATTTGATCAAATCCCACCAGGACCCATGTTAATGACCATCTCCCCGTCTCTTTATTTCAGTCCTAAACAAACTCGGAGCCAGAGACTGCTCTCCCACCTCGGGCACGGACAGAGACTCGCCGGACCTGGTTCTAAAATCCGAGCCGGATGTCAAAGACGACGACGACGATGAGAGTGAGCACAACAACAACAAAAGTGGCGACGAGATAATCCTGGAGGAGAGCGACACGGAGGAAGCCAAAAAAGACGAGCTGGAGGAGTGGAAGAAGAGAGACGACGACAAGAAGCCGTGCCGTAAGAAGAAGACGCGCACGGTGTTTTCCCGGAGCCAGGTGTTCCAGTTGGAGTCCACCTTCGACATGAAGCGGTACCTGAGCAGCTCGGAACGGGCCGGCCTGGCCGCGTCTCTGCACCTGACGGAGACCCAGGTGAAGATCTGGTTCCAGAACAGGAGGAACAAGTGGAAGAGGCAGCTGGCCGCGGAGCTGGAGGCCGCCAACTTGAGCCACGCGGCGGCGCAGAGGATAGTCCGTGTGCCCATCCTGTACCACGAGAACTCGGTCTCAGAGAGCGGGGCTGGCGTGCCCGTGAGCCAGCCGCTGCTCACCTTCCCGCACCCCGGGGTCTACTACTCCCATCCCATGCTCACCTCCATGCCGCTGCTCAGACCGGTCTGAAAAGACAAGCGTTTTCAAAATCAACCGAAAAGTTAAAAAAAAAAAAAAATACTAATATTTTTCTACTGACTGAATGAAGAAAATCACAAAGTAAAGAGAAACTGTCAGGCCTATATGGACCTTTTTCTTGGAAAATACATTGTGTCATTTTCCAAAAGGGTACCGTTTACACGTGATTCGACAACTCAAATCCCATAATTAATATTATTATTATTATTAAATATCACCTCAGGAGTCCACCTGCTTACACTGCCTGCAGCCTGATGAGTGTTCTTTTTATTTTTTCACTATAGTTTTTGAACATGACTTCGGGACAGGCCAACTCTACAACTGTAACCATTTATTTTTGTTGTTTACAAAAAAATAATGGTGGCCAAGAGGCGACTGATTTGTTTTCAGCTGACAAAATTATATTCTACTTTTACATTTTCAGAACTCATTACATGGTGATGTGCAATACACTGATGGTCTGAATGAATGAATCCACAAAACATGTCTTATCATCTTTTCACTTTGGGTATTGATGAGGCTTTGTTGTAATTTCCTTTTTTTTGGGTTCCTTTTTTAAATCGCTTGACGGGGACAATCAAGACACTGTCAACTGTAAAATACCCATGTAGTTCTATGTTTAGTGATTCTCACTCTTGTTCCCTTTACATGGACCAACTTTCAAGCACAAGTGTGAGCTCCAAATGTCTTTTAATCTACTTTGTGTTTTTGAACAGGAGTGGACAAATATCGACTACACTGATGTAAAAAATATGTAAATGTATATATTTAATGAGGCCCGAGGAGAGGAGCTGCCACTTCTCCTTTGTACAGTAAAAACGTTTTGATATTGTATTGCTGAACCATGTTGTGAAATAAATGGAGAATATTCCTTACATTTTAGGTTATATTGTGACTTCTGTGGATCCAGCAGAGAAGAATGGAGTCACTCTATAATCATATTTTAAATAGTTTTGTCACCAGAGAATTCAACATTTTCTCACGAAATGATGTCCTAAGACAATTCGTTTTTATAAAAAAAAAATCAAATTCAATTCATTTACGTCATTATAATATACACATTGAAAACCACACTTGTTTGAGCAGCCATAGGTTTCTATAATCATCTTGGTGTTATGCACTTTAAAACGTAATTTTACATAAAAAGTGTCTCGGTCAATTAGATGCGTAATTGCCACCATTCCTACAATTATGGGTGATGTAGTCAGAAGAGGACATTAAACACTGAGCTGCTGTCTTTAAAAAAACAAATTATCTCCCTCTCTGATGGCCGTGTGTGTGTTGTCTTGGTTCAGTGTGAGGTGGAAGGTGAATGTTGTCAGGATATATGCAAGTATCTCTACCTTATTATTCAAGTGTTTGATGCTTCCATTTAACTGTTATTTAATTCAAATTGTATTATTTTCATTTCATTTCAAGCACTTTCTGAAATTCGTTAGATTTTGTGACGAATTCATGAAAACCGTCTCCTTACAGAAATCCCTTGTGGTGTGGGCAAATTATTTCAGGATATAAAAAACATGTTTGTCGCTGGACACGTGATCTGTTTGAGCGAACACAGTGTTGTAAATAGCAACACAATAAATGAAATAATGCAGTTTAAGGTTGAAAAAAACTTTAATAATAATACATTTACATAATTATGTTCGTTTTCATGCAAACTGGCTCTAACATTTTTTTAAATAAGTAATAACCTCTGAGCGAATAGGAAGACTTTAATTGCTTCAAACTCGTCCCACGATATTGCATAATTTGAGAAAATAAATGTGCACTCAAATAGGCTGCCTTCCTAAAGTGATGGTACATTTAAAAGAAGGAACAGTTTCAGAATCACATCCATACAGTATTATAGACTGGATCAAGTTATACGTGCCGATACTCAACCAGATCCTGGACATGTTTTGTTATAAGTAACTTTATTTACTGTTATTGCATTAAGTATTTATGTTATTTAACTTTTTACGGAAGTTCATTTTTGATGAAAGTGCAGGTGAACTCACTGCTCATGCCTTCTTTAACCTGGGCACAGTAAATGTTAATGATCAATAATAATCAATAATAAAAAATAACCAAGATGGATAGTATTTTAATTAAAGTGTTAACATTTCATTACGTGTTTGATTCCGAGTAAAAAAACACCCCCAGACTTTGATAGTGGGACAGAGTCCAGGTGGACACTTTGACATCTGCAGAGAAACAGAATATTTTAATTAAATTCCAACACTAACACAACGACACAGATTAATTCCCCTGTAGTGTGCTGGTAGGGAAACTATTGACAGCTTCGTTTGAGGACACTTGAATGAATTACCCTGCATAAATACATCTAATAACAAGCTGCACTTGGTTGGCCCAAACATAAAAACATTTAAGAAAAAAGTTGAAATTCAAAATATAACAGATTATGATGTACATCATTTTACATTAACTTTTCCTCAAAGGTCATTTTTGGTTTTCATTTGCAGGCTAACACTTATTGAAAATGAATCAGTCTGCTATAAACTCTATATGATGACCTCATCAAGAGACAAAGGGTTCATTCAAATATCGTCAGATTACCCAAGTATTGACGCCTATACCACGCACACTCAACACGGCCCCATTACCGCAAATTAATAGATTGCTATGGCATTATTCCTCTGGCACATATCGATCCGTAAACGTCTGCATCATATTGCGTCAAGTAAGAGCAACGTTCACGTGCTGCAGCGTATGACCTTGATTTGCGCGCATAAATTGAAAAAATTACCACTCGATAATATCCATTTGTGCGACATCTGCATGCAAAGCAGTGAGGGGAGCGGGGTCAAAATCAGATAAAGTACATTTGTGGGAACGGGGGCAAGCGCACGTTACCGGGTACTGCGTTCAGTGTGTTACATTAAAATGGAGAGCTGAATGGGTAATTTTAAGCTCTATCGTGGGTTTTAGTGCCAGTTTGGAAACACACAAGTGGCCCGACCACCTTGCGTAACGCTAGCCTCTGTAGCCACTGGCATCCTCTCTCATGTGTTGGACAAAAGAGACAAAGACAGTTTGAGATTTTAACAGTTTTAGTTTTGTATAAAGTCATACAACAACAACAAAAATACCATGGGTGGGTTTTTCTTTTTTAGTGACAGAATTTGTTTCAGTAGTTAAAATGTTATTAAATTACATTATGAGAAAACAAAATGCATTCTAGCTAGCGAGGCTAACACAATGCTAACATACAATTGTATTATCATTATAAACTCGTCTTTTGGAGGGGGGGGGGGGGGCACAGAGGGGTCAAAGCTCATTGTTACAGGGGCATGGCCAGAGTTGCCCCCCAACCCCCATTAGAACCGCCCATGCTATTAAAGTTAGTCAGAGGAATGTATAAAGCATCAATTTCGAGAAATAAAATTGGCTTTGTCATAGGCCCAAGGAACCATTTCTGTCAGAGGTTCAAGAAGTTAGTTTGTCTGATGTCCTTGAAGGTTTTTGGTAAGGTTTCCTTCCAAGATTGAGATTTTTTTTTACAAATCACCAAAAAGTAAACATCCTCATTGATTGCTTCAGCAAAATGGGCCAAAGGTGAACAGGTGCACATATTCCCATGAAACCACCTCTTGTTCTTGTGCTTCAACAAATGCATCCTGTTACAGATACTAGCAGATTTGGACAATCAGAGGCCAAACACAAGTGATGTGACGCGTCAGAGTTGGTGTGTTGGAACAACTCTTTTGACACTTCTTGAAGAGGAAATCTCGTTTTAAACCCATCCCATTTGCTTTGCTGATTGAATGCGAGCATCAGATTTTGATCAAAGTTCTATTAAGTGAAACATAGGTTGCGGGGCACCGTCTGATTGGAACAGTTTAAATTTTAATTGTGTTTTTAATTTGACATATAGTTGCTGTGAAGAATGACACTGAAACGCCGAGGGGCGGTCGATTTTCTTAATTTCTCCCCGAGGAATTGATGAGTCTATCAGGGCAGTAGATTGGAAAGCCATTAAAACTCAATGGTTAGGTTGTTAATTGGAACTTGATGGATAGGAGCCCGTGGATAGGCTGTACTGATCCAATCTTCCTGACTTTGTGTTTTCCAATAAATTACCCAGTTCATTTCCACACTCAGATTACATAAATTGTACACCTCCAGGGCTCGGCTGTGCTTGCGTTTACAACTCTCTCTCTCCCCCTCTCTCTCTCTGCACACATACACACGTGTGCGCGCACGGACGCACACAAACGCCTCCTGAAAAAAGAGCAGGCCCAGCTTTCCTGAATGAAAATCGAAACGTAATCAACGTTTATACTTAGAAAATTTATTGATATCATTTTCTCTGGTAATTTTCTTATTCTAGAGTTGGACACGCCATATATCATAATACACACGTGTAAAGGGTCTTTGTTTAATATTTATCGAAGCTTGATTCCCGGATCAAAGCGCCTCATAACTTCATCTGTCTTTCTCAGACCTTTCTCTGCTGCTAAATATCTTGTTCTGTTATTGCGGTAGGGCGGCCATACAATAGAGCACGAACTTAGGCCCGCTGCTCGCCGTTTGGGCCTCTCCAGACTCCGGTGTGAAGAGGACACACGAGTAAGATACGAACATTTCATATACTAACACTGATCTGGCCTGCACGACTGGCCTTAAACGCCAACTCTGACACAAAAACTGCGTGTAATTCATTATGTGCAGCACAATAGCAGCCTGTTATGTCCACTATCTCTGTGATGAACTAATCTCACTTTGCAAAAGTCGTCTGAAAGTGATGAAGGCGGCACCACTGACAAAGGTCTTTGTTTGAAAAGAGCGGCATATAAAATAAACCCATTTCACTGTCATTGCAGATTTCACGCCTTATGTGTAACCACCATAAATCCAGCATCCGCCCTGACTGCCCTCATATATTTGCCCCCCTTCAGTAAAGCCTCCACTGCGAAAGCGTTTTGTTAAGATCGTTTAGCAGCTGCTGGCCCCGCTGCCATGTCGACGATATTTACGCGTGGATCCAGATGCTTCCGTCTGGCTGCTATGAGGCAGAATCTGATGTCAACATCCTCCTCAGCCTACTTCTTCTCCCTCTTCCAGCCTGGCTTTAACACCGAATGTCGGTTGTGTGGCTACCGGGAAGGCCGCTGACATGATGATTAAAGCTGACCATTTGTAATGTGTCTGGGGCTCCCTTACAAAGCAGTAAAAGAGGGATAATGTGCCCGAACCGCCAGCTCAAGCCCTGCAGCTGTCCCACAGCCAGACACAACCAGAGCGGCAGGCACACACACACGCGCGCGCACACGCGCGCGCACACGCGCGCGCACACACACACACACACACACACACACACACACACACACACACACACACACACACACACACACACACACACACACGTGCATGGGTGGTGGAGGTGGGAGGAGATGGGATGCGCGCCCCCCTCCGCTCACATACGCGTGCGCGCACTCAGCCCCCACCACCTCCAATCAATTAGTCAATCAATTAGCCGGCCTCCACTCCACGCGCGGTCATCACGAGGCAGATTAGCTCAGTAATGATCAAATTAATTCTTAATCGCTGATAATGGACGCTGAATGAGTTTATTATTTTCAGGAAAAATTAGTTGGGCCTCTGTATTAGTTCCAAGGCTGTACGTAGGTTTTTACCGTCAGCCAGGACAATTTAGCATGCATAGGATGATCAAAAGCTCCTGCATGAGGTCATCCTCAGTTGACTGAAGCGTTTCCTGGTTGTACAGGTTGATTGAAGGATTATAGACACATTGTCTTTTTTATTGATCAGATAAAAAACGAAAGAAATACATTACACAAAATACATTGTTCTGCTTCTATAAATGGGACATATGACTATGATTGAAAGAAATATTTTTTGAAAAAAAACCCCAAA